CCAGTTGGCATTCCCACCAACAGTGCAAGAGGGTTCCTTTTTCTACATATCCTCACCAACACCTGTTGTTTATTATGTTGTTGATTTTAGCCCTTCTGACAGGTTTCAGGTGATATCTCATTGTAGTTTTGATTTCTTTTTCCCTGACAATCAGTGATACTAAGCATATTTTCATGTGTCTGTTGGCTATCTGGATGTCTTCTTTGGAAAACTGTCTATGTCTTCTGCCCATTATTAATTGGATTATTTATTTTTTGGGTGTTGAGTTTTATAAGTTGTTTATATATTTTGGATACTAACGTTTTATCAGATAGTGTCATTTATAAATATCTTGCCCTATTCTGTAGGTTGCCTTTTAGCTTTGTTGATTGTTTCCTTCATTGTGCAGAAGTTTTTTATTTTGATGAAGTCCCAATAGTGTATTTTTGCTTTTGTTTCTCTTGCCTCAGGAGACATATCCAGTAAGAAGTTGCTAAGGCCAATGTCAAAGAGGTTACTGCCTGTGTTCTTCTCTAAGAATTTGATAGGCTGCTATCTTAAATTTAGGTCTTTCATCTATCTTGAATTTATTCCTGATGTTTATAGCAGCATTACCAAAAATAGCCAAATTATGGAAAGGGCCCAAATGTCCATCTCCTGATGAATGGATAAAGAAGATGTGGTGTGTATATATATATATATATATACAATGGAATATTACTCAGCCATAAAAAATAATGAAATCCTGCCATTTGCAAAGATATGGATGGAGCTAAAGCGTATTATACTAAGTGAAATAAGTCAGTCAGAGAAATACAAATACCATATGATTTCACTCATATGTGGAATCTAAGAAACAAAACAGGTGAACATAGAGAGAGTCAAACCATAAAACAGACTCTTAACTACAGAGAATAAACTGAGGGTTGCTGGATGGGAGGTGGGGGGGGGGTGGATTCAATGGGGGATGGGTATTAAGGAAGGCACTTGTGATGAGCACTGGGTATTGTATATAAGTGATGAATCAGCAAATTATACTCCTGAAACTAAAAAAAATAGTAGAAACAGTAACTCATAAAAATATTTATTTTATAAATCATAATTATTAATTTGTCAGTGTTTCTTTGCTGTGTTTACTTACAATTTTGATATTTCAAGCAAAAGGTTTTGAAATCAGTTTCACTTTTTCCTCTTCATAAACTTCTCTTCGTGCCTGAATTCTCAGAGAGTTACAGTGCTATTGAAGATCAAAGAGTTCAGAAAACCTCCAAATACTAGAATGATTGAGTGAATCCATGTAGGATGTTTGATGGATCTAAATTTTGCGGTCTTAACGTCACTGAGTAAATCTCTAAATAAAATAGAAATTCTACTTGTGTGGGTTCTCTGATGATGACTGCTATGCCTTTTTCCAGAGAGCAGACCTGAAGTACTTTCTGTCACAGATCTGATAGAGACAGTTAACGAAGTTTCTAAACTTAGCATTGCTCATGAAATCATGGTAAACCATGCCATCATGATCACATTTGTATCTTTAAAAAAAATCCTTGATTTTAGCACGAATATGTGGCATTGTGTGTGTAAGACTTTGTTGGGGGTAGGAGGACCATTTAATAGACTTATTGAAATAGTTCAGGTAGGAATTTACAGTAGATGGGGATGGATTACAGAGATATTTAGGAAACAAAATCTCTGGAATTTTGTGACCCAGTAGATAAATAGATGAGGGGAAAGTAATTTAGAAGGAATCCAGTACACACCAAAGTTATGTGTTGGTGACATCTCACAAGTGGGATTGGTGTGTTGGGGGATGAACTTTGACTTTTTTACCCACTTGTTTTTGTATTTCTTGTATTTGTTTTAAACAAACTTGCATTATTATTATATTTTTAAGATGAAAAGAGCTAAGCTCTCTGGTTTGCATGAATAAGGAACAGGGCTGAATGGGGGAGATAATGAGTTGAATTTTCAGCTTGCTGAGTTTGAGGTGCACCTAAAACTTTCAAGTTTTATCAAGAAGGAAATTTTTTCTTGGGTTTCAAAACTGAAATAAAAAAATATCTAGTGTAAAGTATAAGTATACGGACACAGAAACTAAGGTATACATTTAGGTTAGATGCAGAACCAGGACTAGAACTCAAGGGCCCAACCCCTAGTTCATGGTTCTTTCTACTGCAGGAGAGCTTCTCTGGATCCCTGAAGTCCCTTCTGAGATGATTTGGTTAACATCTTTGCATCTGATACTAAACTCAGTTTATTCAATTCTGCCCATCTACATATAGCTCTTGGCCTGTCAATTTAATGATCTTTCATGATCTTGAAAGTGCTGTTTGGGATTTAGGACATTATGATCCTGTATCAGTTCTCTGGGTAGAGAGAAATTTGCTCATTTAAACTTCTTATAGTTTGGAAGGCAGGTTCATGGAGACAATGTACAATGCTTTTTCGGACCATCTGAAAGCGCAGCTATCCAGTACTCCCCTGACCTCACTTATGCTCTTGAACTTTTAAAAGAATTTAAGGAGGTGAGTAACCAACCTCTCATTTGTGGATGTTAAGTTTCTGGGCAGACCAAATCTTTGGATTGTTGATGGCTACCAATATCCTAAGTTGCATACTGCCTTTCTGAACATGGTCCATTACTTAAATAGACCATCTAAAGAAGCATTTTATTTGTATGATATGAAGCTTGAAAGTTGGTATCTTGCTATAATATCACAGTATATTGTTCAATTTAAAAGATTTTCACTGAGATTTTTCTATGTTTCAGAAGCACATAAGTGAATAAAAGAGCCCTTGCCCACAAGGATCTCATACTTTTGAGTCAAAAAGCAATTTCAAATGACCTTTAATGGTTCCTTTGCTTATTATCTTTGACCTTTCAAGTAAAACAATCAAAATGTCTTTATCCCTCATTAGGAGTGCTTCAATCACCTTGTGGTGGTGTGTATTTTTTTTATATTTTATATTCTGCACTTCTTTTTATGATACTCTTATTTTTATTCATATTTTAACCTCATTGTCGTCAAGAAATAATATGGTACTATTGTTATTACTGATCCCAGTGAAGCCTTGTGTTATAATTGGTCCCTAAACAGAAAGAAATAATATTCTCCTACAAGAAACTTAGAGACATAGTTTTGAGACTCCCAAAAGACATAGGCTGCGATGACTTTGTTTTAAGAGGGCTGTTAATTGGAGAGTGTTAGGATTTCTAAACAATTTCATTCCATTGACTGTGTGCACCAGTCCAAGATGAAGCTGTGCAGAAAGTAGAAAGCATAACAGATCCTGTGCAATTACTGAGGTAAGAAACTAAATGTAGTGACCCTGAAATCTGCCTTAGACAACTGTGCCAGAAAACTCTGGGCTGGATACTGTGTTGTAGCTCCTGCCTTATCTTGCTCTTCTATACTGATGAACTGACTAATATCTCTTATTTTCCTCCCTAGACTAGTGGCTGTTGTTTTCCAAGGATAGTCTCTTGGCGTCTTTTTTGGTGATCTTTATATCATTTTGACTCCTTTTAATAAATGATGCTAAGACATAGCATAGTAATTCTTTCTTCTAGAGATTTCAAACTGCCCTTTCCCAGATGTTCTCCTATGTATCTTAACTTATACCCTGTGAGGGGACATAAATGAAGATTATCCCTGTTTCATAGCTAGGAGAACCAAGACTCAGAATGGTAAAGTGATATGACCAGTGAGTTAGAAATTCAATCACCATCACTCCAGCTACTCATAGATAGTTATTAGGGCTTTGATCATTTCCCTTCCACTGAGTACTCTTTCTAAAAAGTAGTGGCTACATTGGAAAGAGTTCTAGACTGGTAACTAAAAGGACAGAAGACATATTTGTCTTTACTTCTGACAACAATCACTTTGTGGTCTTGGGTCCCTAACTGCAGTATTTTTATTTGTAAATTCAAGTTAGATGGTTGTTTTTAAGGCCCACTTTAACTCTAAAATACTGTGATTTTAGAACTTCTTGCTTGAGTTCCACCCTTCCACACTAGATTTCCTTTCATAGTGTAAATATTTGATTTCTTCTTATGACAGAAGTATCTTCCATGTTCTCATCCTGGTGAAAATGGACATGGTGAGCTATACTATCTAGAGCCTTTGACCCTTCCTGCAGGAACATTATGTCCAGTATGAACGAGCTAAATTTCAAGAACTCCTTGACAAGCATCCCAGTATGTTTAAAATTTAAGTGCAGGAGAGGGAGATTTGACTTTGGGTTTGCCTTCTTACAGTGATAAAGTATTTTCTAATTTTTGAATAGAAAGTTTCTTTTCTGGGTAAAGGGTAGGGGAAAGGAATATTTCACTAGGACAGAAAGTCCCACAAAATAATTTTTATTGACCAAGTCTTAGTCTTTAAGCCTCACATATTCACTTTTATGTCATAGATCTCCTTGATTACACCACAAAATGGCTAACCAAAGCAGCAACAGATCTCATTATACCATCTACAAGTTCTTAGGGATCTTCCAGCTCCTGCAGCTTGGCCTGTTCACCTCCAAGTTGGGTAGCTAAAAACTCAGATGTCCCCAATCCCACAAGGGTGCTATTCCAGAGTTACATGAACCTTCTCTGGGATCATGATAATTATGAGTTCCCTGAGGTACAAATGTGTTTTAGAGCTTTGCCTTTTTGTTTTGTATTTAACATCTCTACCAGAACTTTCCTCTCTTAATCCACTCTTCCCTCTCTCAACAGACTTTGCTGATGGACAAAATCTGGCTGTGGGAGATGGAGTCCCAGCTGCACCAGTTAACTATCCTAGCCTCAGTCTTGCTAATAGCCAGAAGTTTCTCTGGTAATGCTTTACTCAGGTTTTCTGAATTTGTGATAAACTGAAGTGCATAACCAAGGCCCTGACAGAGGAATTTAACTCTAGGTAAGCTTCATAGGCAGATCTTTCTTAGAGTTGAAAATAATATGTGTTTTTTGGTAATATATTATTGATTATTTGTCATCAGAAACCACACAAAGGACCTTGGGGGCCACTGGTAAAGATTGTTGGTGTCTTTTGATAAGTCAAGGCTTGGAATAGAGTAATAAAACTTAGTTCCAAAAAGAAGAGTGTGGAGGCTAGTTTGCTACAAATGATTCATTATCATGTTTTTCTAAAAATAATTCATTAGATATTTGAATAGGTGATGTTGGATTTGTGTATGTATATCCAGAAGTTTATCAGTTGATCAGTAATATTGATTGATCATCACTGCATGCAGAGCACCACAACGAAAATAAAAAGAGGAATTAGAATGGGGCGCCTGGGTGGCGCAGTCGGTTAAGCGTCCGACTTCAGCCAGGTCACGATCTCGCGGTCCGTGA